CTAAGGGACTTCTGATATCATCTCTAATACCACTAAATCTTCCACATTTCTAGCATCTTCCTGGTCACTGTCAGGATTCTACCTAACCCTTCAATATATGGACAAAATTGTGTTATGTTTTGGCTCCCCATATAACTCAGGATTTCAGGGTTTACAGCAAATGTCCTTACCCACAGAACCATCTAATTGACCCCTTGTACTTTTCCTCACCCACAATTCCAATCTAACTGCAAACCAATTCCATTTCCAAAATATTTCTCAGATTCTATATACCTCTTATAACTATCTATGCTGATCATCCAATTCTCAGTTACTATCGTCTTCAACGTGTAGGATTTCCCTAGATTCTTTCTCCATGAGGTCCAGTTCCCACAATACAGACAAAATTATTTTTATAAAACGTAAAGTAAGTCGCCCCCTGACCACTTTAAACGTCTTCCTCTTGCATTTGGAATAAAACACACACTTGTGACTAGAGCCTCCTAACATTCTCCCACGCATGCTTCAGGTTTGTCTCCACTGCTCATTCATTCTGCTGCAGCTTTGTGCTTTCTGTGCCCTAAAGATGACGAACTTTCTCTCAGTCCTTTTGCCCCAGAGTTCTCACCAATCTTCCTGATTCCTTTTCTTCATTCAGTAGCACTGGTTTCCTAAGGCTTTCTCTCAGTCTGCTGAGTTCCTTTATAATTCTTTCCAGCTATTGTTGTTTGTTCAGTAACATCATCTGGGAGAGCAAAGACACTGGTAGTCACCATGTCTACTTTGTCTCGCTATTTTATAAACCTCTTCTCAAACTATGAACTTAAAACGTAAATATATTAAATACATTTAATAAAGTAACTTTAAAAACAGGGAAAGTATGCCAATTCAACATAAAATCTCTGCTCGCTTGCTTAGTGATTAATTGCAGAAGTCAGAGAAAATGAGGTCACAGCTAGAGCAGGCCAAGAACACAGGTGTTTCAGAAATAACATGTGGAGGTAATTATTACTAGTATTTTTGCTGGCAAAAAGTATAGGTGATTATTTCTGTATACTTGTACACAGACAAAAAGGCAAGGGGCACATTAATCTCTCTTAGAAAATGCAGCATTTTTTACAGAGTGCACACTTACAAGTTTAGCTAAATCCATTATAATGAAAACAACATTACACAAATATTTATACAATCATCTAAATCTAGGGATTTGACTGTGACTATGTCGCAACGTTCATGCCCTCACTTACCCACAATCCTCCCAAAATAATGAATCCTCGCACCAGACGGCAACCTTCCTGAACCTTTCTTACAAAGGACACTAGGGATCCTGTTAACTGTCCTTTGCAGTTCCGCGTGGCACCAGCCACCTTTCCAGGGCACATATATATTATAAGGAGTCAGAAGTCTGGCAAAATAAAAACTTTTTCTCCATCTTCAGGAGAACCAGCTTATGAAGCAGTATATTTGAAGGCGCAAAAGGTTAATGCGTTAGTGACACCTGTTCAGGATATGACTTCCTGTGATCCTTCACAACAATCTAATTTCCAGCCATATGATTCCTGCAGACTTTAAATTCAGACACCTCAAAGGCAGCATAAATTTGATATTTTCTTGTAATTCTACAATGAAGCGAGAACCTGTATAATTTGAGATCTGCATGCTCATAAAGATGAAAGAATGGGATGCAATCTGAACAGGAGCTAAAAAAGTAGGATCATTTCCCTGCAATACCTTCAAAAGGATGTAACTTTGGTATCTTTGTAACAAGAATGTAGCTATGCTACAGGGCAACAGATCAGGAAGGCCTTCTCCTCAGGACTTTTAAGAACCTCTGTAGATTGGAGATCTAACTATTCCTTTGTGTGTATGTTCTTGAGTTTGTGCACTTACATAGATAATAAACAACAGCTATAAACATATTAGGTTCAGCAGGGTCTATTCATATATACACACATAATAGCTGATTGACAGATGGTAGACAGATCAATTGAGGGATCGATCGAAAGATAGATACTGATTTAATTATGTAGATATATAGGTATATAAACATATATAGAACAGTTTATTTTTTATTTTTATTTTTTCAAAGTTTATTAAAATACAAAAGTCTCCATTTCCGCCCCTCCTCCCAACACCCTCACACTCCCCCCACTCCCTCCCCTCCTCCCTCTCCATCCCCAATAGCAGTCAGGGTCTCCTACCCTGTGGGTAGTTCAAGCTCCTCCCCCCTCCCTCCAGGTCCAGGAAGGTGACTATCCAAACAGACTGGATCCCCAAAATCCAGTATATGCAGAGGAAACAAGTCCCAGTGTCATTGTCAATGGCTTTTCAGAAAGACTCCGGGCCAGCCACATTCAGAGAATCCGACCTCAATCAGAGAATCTGGCTGGATTACGTACAGCTGGCCTTGGTGAACTCTCATTAGATCAGTCCCCTTGTATCAGTGGGTGATCGCACCCCTCGCGGTCCTGATTTCCTTTTTCATGTTCTTCCTCCTTCTGCTCCTCAATTGGACCTTTGGGGACTCAGTCCGGTGCTCCAATGTGGGTCTCTGTCTGTATCGCCATCCCTCGTCGGATGAAGGTTCCCTCTGATCTTGCCTTCCTTGCTCACGTTCTCTTTCCTTCTGCTTCTCGTTTGGACCTAGGGAGTTAAGTCCAGTGTTCCAATGTGGGTCTCCGTCTCCATCTCCATCCATCGCCAGCTGAAGGATCCCTCCATTGTATCTTCTGCTCTATAGAACAGTTTAAATGCATGTCTATTTTATATGTATATTTGTTTGTTCAGACAGCTACACACAATGATTACCCCACTACCAGATGATTTGTTTCACTTTCTACAATAATCAATGGAAGAGTGAAATGAAATCTTTGAAGTTCACTGTACTTTTCACACTTAAAGATCAGCTTGTACCCTCACTCACTGGGTCATTTGTGACCCACTATGGAAGTCATGAAAATTTTATTGACTCGCAGTACAATGAGCTGATATTATTGTTACCATTCTGGTTTATTATCTATTGTATTTTATAGTTTCAAACAATGTATTCATACAAACCAGTCACATACTACATATTATTATGAGGTGTCACTTTTAAAAAGGTAATTTCTCTGAAAGCTGTGGGTTTTGTCTTGTCTTGGTTGCCGTTGACTTGCAGCTCAGTTGGAATAGCCCATCCTTACCCCAACATTATCATGCAATGTGTGGCGCATACTGGATATAAAGATAGGCATATCAGATTCCCTGAAAAAGAAAACCTGCATTGGTCCTCTAAACCTGAATTATTGTTAAGTAAAAGTGGTAACTTCTGTCTTGAACTAGAACTGCTACAGTATAGTTCTGTTCATTTGTTTACGTAATCTTAGTCTCCTGCACCCTAAATTGATTGCCAGAACACTCAACCACAAATCCTTACTCCATAGTCTTTTCCTTGGGGAACCTCCAGCTCAGAAAGAAATGTAGAGAAGCATATAGTGAAAGTCTACTTGGCCTGTGTATGTAGTTGCTAATACAGTGACTTTGAGCCAACAGAAACTTAGGAAGCAAAACAATATCCTAGGTTTTCTTAAAGCCTCATTAGGCTATCATTATCCAGATCAATGTCAGTTGCAATGTTCTTCTTGTTGCTGTGGAGGAAAACAAATCCAATCAAAAGGAAATTTGGCAGAATGAATTTCTAGTGGGTGTGCGAGGTACAGTAACTGGTGGTCAGAGAACCACTGTGTCTAGGGCAACAGACCTCCAGGTGGCCTAGACTACCCTGCCTAGGTGCCCAACTTTTCTGCCTTCTTCCCTGTGTCTTTAGCACCTGACACAGCCTTACAGATTTCTGTCCCAGGCACACTCCACATTTGCCTTGATGGCAGCAGAGCAGAGCTGTTTCACAGTGGAGGTGTGTCTTGAAGGAAGTTAGTTTCTCTTTACCTGCTAGAGGGATGTGCATGTCTGTGCTCTCTGTTAGTCCTCATACTATTCTTCTTTAATATGCTTTTCTGAACAGAACTCACCTCTGGTTCTGCCACCTAAAAGGATTTCTGAGGTCACAGTGTGTGCAACATGATAAGCAATGTCACTTCTTCCCCAAAGAAATCTATCGCTTCGTATACTCATGTCTGTGTCTCCTTACAGACGCTCTACCGGGATTTAGGGTTTCATTAACTGAGTTCAAATGATTGTCTCTAAATAAACTAAAATGATGACAATCATACAAGTGATTCTGACAGAACTAACATGCAAATAAAATTCAGAACTATTTAGGTTTTCTGCAGTATCATACTTAAAATAATCAACTATCTACACCAAGCTTTGATTAAAATGAAGATGAATAAAGATGACTAACACATAAATTATTACATAATGACTAAGAACTTAAGAAATAGTCCTTCCTACACCAAATAGTACTAAATGTGGGATTGAGGTGATATTTATAAAATGTAATGTATTATTACAATTAATAAACAGCTTCAATAAAGTATTTTTTGGATAATTATATGAAATGGTTCATATATTATGTATTAAAACAACAATGCACATGACATAAAAGAAATATTTAGTGAATACCCACTAGGTAAATTACACACATAATATCTAAAATGTGAAATAAATACCAGGAATGCAGATTATTTACTAATGTTATTTTAATAGTGCCACTTTCTTGATAAAGTTCATATAGTTATATGAAAGGCAATTCTGGCTTTTGTGACTGATATGGTTTCTTTTCATAGTCATAAGTTCTTAGGCTTATAGATTCTTTACCGAAGATGATTATACCCTAAGAGGTTCATAGTTGAAATGCTAAAAGCAAAGGCTTGTTTTTCACAGACACTGATTTTCCACCAGACCATTGGAATTGACTTTAAATGATGATGGTTCAACATAGTATTTCTGGGACTCCAGATAAAAATAATTTTTTCCAAAGGTCAATAGGATATTAGATACAATTAGTAAAATTATCAAATAGGTTAAAAGCAATCGCACTGCCTTTACAGTTGAATATACTCAAAAATCAAGCCAGCACTTACCTGGATAACATGCTTCAGTTTATCAATGATCTGGTTTATCACAGGGTCAGTTCCTCTGACTCTGACTTCGGGGTTTCCAGACTGGGCTTTCATCCCGTTTCCAACCACACGTTGAGCATAGCTGTCAGAGTGAAAAAAAGGAACCTGGTCAGAGACAACCTTCAGAGCTGTTTCAGACATTTGGTCTCAGAACAGACACCATGGCTGTGCTCAAAATACAGATGGAAAAACTTTATCACTATTCTGCTGAGGTGAAATGCTCACAGTGAAAACAGAAAAAAAACCAGATTTTTAACTGTGTTTAACAACATGGTAGAAAGTGTATTGTGTGTTTGTGTGTGTGTGAGGGGAGGGAGAGAGAAAGAGAGAGGGAGAGAGACAGAGATTAATAATTCTTGCTAAATTACACATGTCTATACCTACACTGTCTCATTATCTGCATCAATTTATTTTATGCAGTATTTAGATAAGTCCAAGTGTAAATATATCTATATACAAATATATACATATGTATATATATATACATTTATTGAGAAAGACAAGCCAAAATTATTAACTTTATAATGACATAGAATCCACAAAATCTTTACTAAAGCATTAGTAATGGGATGTTTTCACAGGCAGTAAATTGTAGTAGAATGTCTTCTACCTTCACCAAATAGCAATAATATAATATCAACTTACTATTTGTGAAAATATTTAAACTCTTAAGTCCCAAAATATTTCAGTTCCTACTCTATTCAACATTCTGTACTAATAGACTCGCTGAAAAAAGGATGTAATTCCTGTCCTCACAATGCTCATTACCTACCATTTCCTATTATTGGAAATAGAAAATGCCAATACCAATTAAGTCATTCATTGATAAATTCATTCATTACATTTTACTAGATTTCAAAGTTACCTAGTAGAATTCAGCACTTGTTTTCAGACAGTTTGCTGTAGCTTTGTAAGTCACATGAACAGCCACACCCGTTACTATGGAGTAACACCGAAGCATTGTACATAGCAGCTCTAAAGACAAGCAAACATGGGTGATACACACTGAAAATGTGGGAAGTCTGTCTGGATTCAGAAATTTGGCGAAAAGCAGGGAAGAAAAGTATTAAGTGAGCTTCTACATCAGGAAATATTAAAAGTGGATTTTCATGTAATGGGTCATGAGGTTTCTGGAGCAAATGATAACATTCTTAAAAGGAAAATAAAAAGAAGTTTGTGTACTAAGGCCTCTTCTATCAGATGGAGGTACCAACTACTGCTGGGTGATTCCATTTTCTCTGAGTAAAGTCTCCTATAGGAATCCTTCTTTTCACGTTATGACAAAAAGAACGCTATCCACAGTGATTTCAAATTGTTTTAATGTGATTTCTCCCCTTCTCCTTAAAGAGTTTGTGGAACTGTTAATATGCCATTTCCCATAAATTCCTAATGAAGTTAAAAAAAAAACTTTGAAAGAATAAAATTGGGTTCCACTCTTATGAGCACAGTCATATTAAATAAGCTTAAGGAATATACATTTCAAACAGAACTGAAAGATACTAATTTTGTAGAATGTCATATAATTTGACTCAGATTCATTCCAGAATTATAATATTTTGATACACAGTTTTGGGAATAAAATATTCATTTAGGAATAAAATAAAATATTTTACACATTTTCAGGAATAAAATAATAGAAGCTGACACTGGGCTGTAAACAACTTAAAATTATCAATCCTAGCTATCTTCCCCAAGTTTACTGGTACAGGAGGCAAGACACAATGTAATTCCTGGTGTGCAACATATTCCAGCATATGTTTATCTTTACCAAACTTGCAGCTCCTATCAGCAGTCAAAAACCAAAAGTGGAAACCTAATTGCTGCTACTAATTTGTTGTTTCCAATAATTTTTCATGGCTAATTTTGTGATTTTATATTCCTTACATGTCTTGAATTCTGATTCTCAGAACTGCTAAAAGATAGAATGCTGGTTTTGCAGTTGGTCCAGCAAATGTGCTGCTGTCTGCTTACCTGGGTGGGAACACAGGCTATAAAAGTACACTGTAGGCATTCATCAGTGAGTTCCTTGACAAAGAGTAGATTACTTTCAACCTCTTTCTTGCTTCTCTTTCTGTTTCTGGTAGGAACTATGATGTAAATAGTGGTGATTTTCCTCAAGAAAACCCTGCATATGCTCTTGAGTTACACTGATCACTGATGCTGAGGACCATTCTGTGGACACTTGTTCTATACAATAATTTTCTCTATATAGAAAGTTCTAATTGTTGAAACATCAGTCTAGAAATAACTCCTATGACTGACTTTATGAACCAGACTTATGAGAATATCCTTTCACAGTAGATTGAGGCTCACAGAACTTTAGAAAATAGACAATGTAGAGTCAATTTGCAATGATTAAACTCTTCATGATTTTACATATTCACTTCAATTGTGAAGACATAGAAACATTTTCAGACTACTGGCAATTTATTTAGCTTTATAACTATACATGTTATGTTTAAAAAATAACATTGTATCTATTATTTTACTAAAGTAAAAATAAATGTAATTAATTGTGAATATGTTTGATATTATTATTTATAAATAACTAATTTCTCTTATAGATATGATATTTTGTGATATGATTTAGATGGTTGTAATTAATATTATTTTTAAAAGTTAATGTATGCTTTGCTTACTTTCAGTTTACCACTTCAATAAACCAATTAAGAAATGGACATGTTAAAAAGACTCAAAAAGCATGAATTCATTTTTAAAAATGTACATGAATCAGTCTTCAGCCTCACTTTGTTTGGCAAGGCATGCATCGCTGCTTGCCAGGGTAGCCAAGAGAACCACAGGTAAGCAATTTCAAAACAGTTTGTAAAATAAGCAGTTGTGTGAACCAGAAAGAAGATATTTCAACACAGGAAGCATCTGGACAATTTGGATTCAGCAGGAAGCTTACACTTCAGAAAACTTTAGACAGGACTATACACACATCGATGATAAAGGAATTTATAAATACTTCACATTGGTTTTAAAAAGCAAGCTATAAATCTAATTTACATTCAACCTCTATTGATTCAAAGGACCTGTCAGAATTTAGAACTGTTTTTTTTATCTCCAATCTATTCATTATAATTTGCGACTACTGAACAACTTCCTACTGATTCACAATTGGGTTAAGACAGTAATTATGAAAGGAATTAAAGTATTTTGACAATTGAATGAAAAATGAATACCCAAATTTATGGGACACTGTGAAGAAATTTTTAGAAGACAAATTCATAGCACTAAGTTCCTACATTAAAAGTAATGGAGAAATCTCATTCTAATAACTTAATAGCATAATTAAAAGCAGTAGAACAAAAGGATATCATACCCAAAAGGAGTAGAAGGGTAAAAATATTCAAACTCAAGGCTGAAACAATAAAATAGAAACAAAAATAAATACAAAAAAGATCCATAAAAAAGAGTTGTTTCTTGGAGAAAATCAAGAAGTTGATAAATCAATCCCCAAATTAAAGAGCTATAAAATTAACAAATTAGAGTTCAAGGGAGAACATAACAGAAACCAAGGAAATTCAGAGAATCATATTTTCCACAAAATTGGAAAATCTAAAAGAAGTAGAATATTTTCTCAATAAACATCACTTTCCAAAGTTAAATCAAGATGAGACTTGCAACTTTAACAGACCTAAAATACCTAGTGAAATAGAAACAGTCTTCAGTCTTCCAACCAAAAAAAATCCCAGGGCCAGAAGGTTTTAGCTTAGAATGCAACCAGACTTTCAAAGAAGAGTTAATGATAAAACTCCCATAAATTAGTCCAAACTATAGGAACATAAGGAACATTTATCCCAACTCATTTTACAAGGTCACAGCTACCACAACACACAAATCACATAAAGACCCAACAAAACAAGAAAAGCTTCAAAGGCAAGCAACAGTGGTATTTGGACGAACAGCAGTGTATAGAGTGGAAAAGCATTTTTATCACCTACATATCTGATAGAGATAATATCCAAAATAATTCAAAAGCTAAAATAATTAAACATCAAGAAAACAATCCAATTTCTAAAAAATGGCGTACAAATTAAAACAGAGAATTCATTCAAATGGTTGAGAAACTTTAAGAAATGTCTAACACTCTTAGTTATCAATGAAATGCAAATCAAAACTACTCTGAGATTCCCTCTTAAAATTATCAGATATCAAAGATCAATCACACAAGTGACAGTTGATGCTGACAAGTACATGAAATAGCGAGGACATTCATCTGTTTCCAGTGGGAGAGCAAAATTTTATAACCATTTTGGAAATCACTGTGGCAGTTTATAAACAAACTGCGATTCGATCCATATCCATCCAACTATATCATTCTTAGGCATATGCTCAAAGGTTGCATCATCCTATCACAAAGGCACTCACAAATGTCCATTGTTGTTCTACTCATAATTTCCAGAAAATGGAAGCAATCTGGATGTCCCTCAAATATGGAAATGTGGTTCATTTACAAGGTAGAACATTACTTGGCTATTAAAAGTAAAATCATGAAACTCACACTAACTATAAAAAAAGTCATTTTAAGTGTGGTAACCCAGATCAAGAAAGAAAAATATAGTATATTTTCTTATATTTGGATTTTAGCTATTTAGTCCATGAGAACTAAACTACAGAACCTAATACCATAGAGGTTATATATACAGTAAGAACTAGGTGGGAACAGAAAGATATTTCCCTAGGAATAGTAAATAGAATATGTACATATTTATAGATGTCAGGAATAGAAGGCTCAAGTAGAGTGAGAGGAAGAGAATAGGAAAATAACAGTGAATACGGAAAGAGACAAAATTAAAGGACATCTGTAGAGTAGTATAGGAACCTAATACAGTAGAACCTTCCTAAAATATATATTTATATGTAGGAAGACAATATAAATAAAATTGCCAAACTATAGAAGAGAAAGAGCCCTAACTGACCATCTCTTGTCATCAAATGATGCCTCCAATACCTGGATTGAATTAAATCTAATTGAAATATTAATCAAGGAATCTCCTAAGAAATCCCAAACAATTCAGACTTTTGCTAAGACTACAACTTTTTTTCTCCACAAAAAGACAGAAAATTCCCATTGAC